CTTCAAACTTCGTATTTTTCCGTTGCAGACCGTTCCATATCATTTCTAGGCAAAATTAGGGAATCGAAAATTCGAACGATTGCAATGCTTCTATTCGGGAGCAAAAGAGTGAAAATGGCAATATCTCGCGATTTTTAGGCGAACGGGTACACCGATTTTTATAGCTTTACATGATGCCCGCTAAGACAAATATTTTGAAAAAAAATTGAAATTCAATGCGTGGTTCAGGAGATATTCAAGGAAATACATTCACGCAAAAGGTGTGATATCTCTGGAACCGCTTGGCCCATTGAGTCTATCCAAAATACCGGCTTTTAATATTATGAGAACTACAAGCGTACAAAAAGGTCAGCTCGCTATCTCCCTTTTTCATTGATTTATCGTGTTCACAACGTCTACGGTGATAAAACTTAAAAACGGCAATATGACGAACATTTATCAGAACAAATGTAGATATCTCTCATTCATATAGATAGGACACACTGAGACGAGTATTTAGAAAAAAAAATTGCAATCCTTACAGAAATTTTTGACATACTCAGGAAAAACGAAATTTCCTAAACTGACCGATCGAGCTGAAACAACTTACCGAAGTAATGATAGCTATCACGAGTTGGAAATTCAGATCTTCTGCTAGAAATTTTACAATATTTATGTTGAATTTTCTTTAAATGAATTTTTAAAATATCGAATTTTTCAGCACCTACGCACAGATTTAACAACATCGTTTTTTCGGGTTTGAGAACATAACTAACAAGATAACTTGCAATTGAAATTATAAAATCGAAAAATATTCACGAATACACACGAATATTCACGTGAATATATATATATATATATATATATATATAATTCGATATTTTAAAAATTCATTCATGTATATATATATATATATAAAGGTCACTTTGGTGACGATTTTTATGATATAATGGTCATTTCGGCTACACCTGGTCACTTTGATGACCGTCACCGAAATGCCTTCATATGGATCGAGAAGTTTGAT